ATTCGTTGTTGAAATCGTAGCGGTAAGAGTAGTGATAATATACCTGGGGTCAGCAGGTGATCTTTATCCATTACGCCGAGAGAAGACGAGAGAAATTGAGCAGATCCATCATTAAATAGGGTGATAATGGTAATAATGACGTCTGTACAAACTAATACATTTTGCTAACGACACACTTACCAAGCCAGCTTCACATTGTCAATGTCAAGCGCTTTGGGTGTACGCAAACAGCATTGGGCCTCATGCGCATACACATCCGGATGCCACTATCTACCCGACTATATGATATATATTGGGTGCGAAACAACTCTAGCGATGTCTGCTAAAGCGCTCAGCTCGGACAAATCGGCACGATTTTCGTCGGAATGACAACTGCTGCGCGTGTCTTCATTGTATATGCTATATATATATATATATATATATATATATATATATATATATATATATAGGCATCATCGGCCAAGGTCAAAATAGAGCAATAAATATGGAAGTTGTCATACACTGATGTGTAGTCGCTGCTACGGGTCCTGTTATTACATTACGCCCATTCATTTTATACTTTTCGTAAAATATGTTCTTTTTGATGTAGAATATTTTTATTTCGTTTTGAGCACTCGATATCAATGAAGTTCGCAGTATGTAGCCAAGCCTGGGTTCCGCTATGCAGTTCTCTTTAATTATCATATTTAATAATAGTTACTAAATGTATTACAAGAGCGGTGCTGTAGGAAGCCTCACTTTACGTTGTCATTTGAGATACTTAATTGATCTAATGGCTTGGACACTTGAAACCTTAAAAAAGATATATAGTACATTTATTTACGGGTCTTTAAGTTATACTTTCGGTTTAGCAAATGACCAGATTTGAAAAGAAATCCTTGGTTTAGAACAATTTATAATTTGTCCTTCTTCTTGCTGTCGATATACGTATTCATGTTGTTATGCAAGGCATATCGCATAGAATCTTGATACTGATTGGCTCTATAAAATTTCATTCAAGTTCGTCGTCGGATAACGATGGTCGTTTTTGTTGTTACTTTTATTACCGCATACGAAAACATTTCTACGACAGCTTTTCAATTGGATATGATTTTTTGCGCAGTTGATCGATCACTTGATTGTAACGAACGGCCACGTTCTATGTAAATTTGTAATGATATGTAAATCTGAATGATAATTATCAACAGGCAAATGTAATCACGCTCATTGTGTCATTGATACCGCTTCGTTTGGTGTGATTTTTTGTCTACTATACCTGTTATGAAACGCCGAGCTTGTTTGGAACTCGACCAGTCATTTATGTGAAATACCTGCAATTATGGGAGCATTTCGCGTAAAGAAGTATTTGTCGAAAGAAGAGCCATAGAACTCTATGTACCTGTAACGTATAGTGTTTTAAAAAATAACGCAAAGCCACAAAACGTTGCTAGAAAAGTAATTCACCGCTTTATAGATGTTTGAAGATCACGACCAAAAAAAATCAGCGTTGTCCGCTCATTTTTAACTAGGCACAACCGCTATTATTACGCGCTCACTTAGTTGATTCGCCACAATTGATAGTAAGGTAATTTACAAAACATGTTAAAAAATACACGTAGGTATGTTACTGGTAGCAACTACAACGTTACTGTAATTCCTGAGAGCTGTAGCTTTGTTGCGAGTGCTCTTGCACTGGATGACTTAACTACAGAAACGATAATTAATTATAGAATTAAATTATTAGTTCAACTGTAATAAGGTTTCAATTCACAATCGATCTTTTCTTGCTAACACATTACACTTGTCTAACTTCTTAATTAGTAGAAAAATATCGTCACTATAGTAAAGCAAATCCATAACAACTTACATGAATAATACGCTCTAAACTAACGAGAACCATAGTACAGATTCAACTTGTGACATTGGCAGATAGGACAGCTTTCTGCCGCCGGATGCTGATATGTGTTAAGACCAACTTGCTCACCGACATTGTAATAGGTATAATGTGGATTCTGTACTCACCAACAATCGGTTGTGTGAATTATATATTGATTAATTAAAAAAAAAAAAAAGGATTGATCACTTGTCATATTTTATATCCGTTTCACCAGTTTTTCGCAGTTTTTATCTTTGCAGATACTAAAAATTGATTGATTTTCATTTTTATAAATTTAGTTCAATGCTGTAGTTACGATCACGACAATCGTGCATTTTGGGATAAAACAAGAACTAACCGGAAGCCCTCGTTTTCTTAGCATCGGTTGTTATAGTCTGTATAGAAAAGGGTTAAAAACAAGTTTATGCAATGAGTTTAAATGAAAATTATCATTACCGGTTCGATCAAGCCAATCGAATATTAAATTAATTACTCGAGCAGCAAAGACAGTCTGTAATAAAGAGGACAAGACGGTAAAATGAAGCATGCTGGCGACGGAACGCACGCTTTATAATATATACATATCGAATAAAACATCAAATCGTAGACACTATACTATTAGATATTCCATAATGGATGCTAAAATATAAGTAAGCAATTAGTTAATTGGAAAAACGTTTGCTTATCCTAAGAGCTAGCGGACGCCGACAGCACTCGTCTAATATTACTTCGTTTAGACCGCTAGCTGTTAAAATAGCTGGTTAAAAAAATATGGCGAGTTTGATCTAAAAAATAAAAAAACACTTTTCTATTCAAATTGTGGCAAAAAGTAGTTTCCAAAACCATCACTCTATACGACATTCTCTTGTTTCTCAATCGAATTATCTAATCCGTCTAGTTAAAATTTTTGACTCTTGTATTGTTTAACTAATTTTCGAGACCTATTCAGTTGCCAGGTGGTGAGTTTCATGAAAAAATTATTGGGTAAGACGGAAGTACATCACGAAGGATCTCAAGAATATTGTAACTGCAAAAGTATCTCCGACTTTATCTCTTGCAAGGCAGCTTGAAGAGGTTTTGCCATCTGTGGTCTCTATTGCTCTGCATGACTTGCCTCGTCGATCAGGTCTTTTTTGTTGGATAGTCTCGTTTACTCAATGTATTTCGGCCATATACAGATCCTGATTAACCCGAATTTACCAGTATTGAAGACAATTACCACACAATTAGATTATAGCGGATTTGTAGCGGCGATCGCGCGCTTCAGATTGATATATCATACCTAAACACTGGAGAGGCAAAGGGGCAAGCCAGTATCTAAATAGTGCGAACATTACTTTTTAAACAATCCAATACCTAATAGTTAGTCAAACAGCTGTTCGTAGATTGCATCGGTATTCCGATGCTTTCGATGATTGCACTGTGAAATCTATGTAAATCTCTATGTAATATAAAATCTCATAGAAAAAGGTGGGTTGATATTAAAATTCAGTTTACCGCAAAACCACTGAATGGGACAGTTTACTTCGGTAAATCTCGATTGACTACTGTTTGTGAGCGGAATCGACTAAACATTTTATTTCAGGTACTTTGTTATTAGCGTATCAGGTTGCTGGACGTTTTGTTAATTTGCTATTGCTGACAATTGGCTTTTCTCTCTATAAGTGTCTAAGCTTTCATTGGTGACAATTTTAATACCTTTTTACATTTAATAGTTATATTTAATAGCCAGTAAGTGAATCGTCTGTGTTATGATTTACACGTTAAAAATACATTTGAAAGGAAAATATATAGGGAGTGCAGTATTTTTTTCTCGTTTTTTTTAAGCCGTTCAAATAATGATTGAATGTACTATTTTTAGCCATCATTATAGTATATCTAGGCCAAATACTCATGTGAGATATTTTGTAGAGATCTTATGAACAAACCTTCCGTGAATTATCCTTGTATTCTCTTTCTTTGTAATGATTAAATGGTATTTGAAAATTACAGGAAGTAACATGGGTTGCTGTTAATGTCAATAATATAAAGCTACTCTGATGCACATAAGTTAGGGCGATATAAATCTGTGAATTTATGCTAAAAATCGCTATTACGAACAGATTCAATGTTTTCGTTAGAAATTCTGAATCCTATCTACTCTTCCAGAATTTGATTTTATTGATCAACAGAATCGCGAGTAGGTGGGCCCACATTATAGATGCGGCATCTTGGCTGATCGATGTAGCTGCATCCTAATTATGGAAACAATACTGTAATCATTGATGCTTTTGATGATAATCGGCAGCGCTGATCGGGTTTATGGTTGTTGAACTCCGGCTGTTAGAAAACCACTGAGGAAAAATCTTGTTTGAAAATCTTGAAAAAAAGTTTAGGCTGTTCCGCCGCTTATGTTTGTAGAGGGAACAAAGTCGATTTGAGTCATGCTATGTTTGAGTGAAGCAACATAATGCTCTCAAGCTAGCCATATTTGTTTACTCTGTGAATTCAGTTACGGCAGATAAAAGCCTCGGGGTATTTTACTTGGACAGTTGTGGCCATTTAATCATGATAGAAAGTCCCCGTAATAACGCAAAGGTAGCGTATTTACCAACTAAATTTTGGAACACTCAGGTTTGTGATCGAATTCGAGCTTAATTACACTTCGACTCGTGCTGCGAGTCAGCGGTCTAAAGAAATGTCTGCAATTTCGAGTAATTTATCTGAAACATCTATGAAAAACATTTATCTGAACATGATGATTCTAAATCGAAGAGTGACTACCGCTACACTGTGATATATAGCGGTCCATAATGTTACCTCTAAACTAGATATTCCCTAAAATAATTTCTCAGTGTATTTTAAGTGGTTTAATTTCTTTGAAAGCCTCAAGCAATTCTTCAGCATACGAAGCGTAGCTGACCCGGCATCTTATTCCATGTATAAAATAAATGAAGAATCCCAATGTGCATAATTCAATATTGTAGTAAGAACGTTTGCTTTTATGTGCAAATTTAAATAGTAAGTTAATTGTTCAGTACTTTATCCCTTTGAGAGATAGTTCTTGCCCTGCAAAGGATTTAGGAAGAAGCACAAATAAGGAGCTCTGCACTTGCTGAGAATACGGTCGAACCTTCTGTGTACGATCGATAGAACTACTTTGGGAAAGGGAAGTTTGTTTATGATTTTCACTACTTGTGAGCCTTGCACGTGCCAATATGTGATACACGGCTAATTTTTTGAATATACAGGTTTTAGCTTAATGAATCGAATTTTTTTTTCGATAACATTATTTGTCAGCACGATATCCATCACAACAGGACTTCTACATAGATATTATGAGTGAACCGCTTTCCGAGTTTGGCGAAGTTGAGAAACCCGTATAAATAGTTAGTTGGGATGTTAATAAACATTTTTTGCAATTGTGTTCAAAATTGTATGATATAAAGATCGGTTGTTTTATCCAGACGTACCGTGACATTGTTTCAAGAAGTACTGAGACGCCACAATATGTCGTCGAGCATCTTGAGCCAACTGTGTATGGGCATTTCGCTTAAAAGAAAAGTGCCAGAATCAGAAAGCCAGCCAAGGAAGCCTGTCGAAGTCTGTACAAATACCAAAGAGTTGGACCCTCGTAGGCTAAAAGCGAAACCCGAAAAAGTTCAAAACAGGTAAACCAAGATAATATGCTTGTTTACTGATTTCGGCTGATCAGTGAAATTGCCGATTGAACTCTTAGCAATTGTTACTCCAAATAAAACTTCTGACGTGTACTACTAAAACTTTTAAAACTAGTTAGTTTTTTTTATTTTCTTTTAAATTTTTTTTCGTAGAAAGACGAAGCGCCGGATCATCAGAATTAACTAATCAAAGTTCTGTTTTGATATTTAAAATACGGAGAACAGCGGCATTTTCAATTAGTGTTTGGCTCATTTAAGGAAACAGATAATTGCAAAGATATGTTTGGTTTCAGTTGAGCAGCGCATGATACAAGCACGTCCTCACTGAGGAATCAAGCACCAATATGCTATTAGAAATATATTTACAACATAGTTATACACTTCGAAGCAGCTTATAGAAACATTTCTACCGAGTAGATATTCACATCCGCAAGATAGCTTATAGTATACATTTTCTATTTAAAAAAAAAACACATCTGAAAAATCCTAAGTTAATTGAAATCAATGTTTCGGAGTAAATTTTATCTATTTTTCATTTTTTGCATGGATTTAACGGCCTAGGGTTGTCACAAAAAAAAACTGTTACGAATCAGTGTCAGTTTTTATCGAGGTATCCATCTGTGTTATATAATCTTTTTTGATTGCTCAGATAATGCGTAGAGTGCATGGCAGGATTGAACAAGCAACTTGTTGAATTCGGAATCCGTATCTACTTACCGATATCTAAACTCTGTAGGCTTGTATGATTTCAGATTGCGTACACATTATGGCATTGGTGTTTGGGGCGACGATATTCCTGCTCTGCTAACAGAGTTTGCCGAGTTACGAACTCGGTATGGCTGTTCTAAACAGCTATTGGATAACGTGGCTGCCTGTGGCTATGATCGTCCGACATCTGTACAGATGGCCATTATTCCCGCCATGCTCGAGCGACGAGAGGTGAGATGATCAAGGCAAGCTATGGCGATTTCATCATTTCTAAATGAGGGACCCTGTTATTCAAGTTTAATCGATCACGGTTCTAGTGGCATTTATGCATATAAAGGTCACTTCTGATGACGGATGGGTCCGAAATGAATTATTGTCTTGCCAGTCTTGTCTGGGTAACGTTCGGGTCAATAAACTAAGTGACCAGTAACACACCTGAAAAATGTTCGAACCTCTTGTTCATATAGAAGAGTGTGATAGAGAAGTTGTACGTCTATAGTAGAACATGTAGTATATATAATAAACACTGAGAAACACACCAATCTAAATATTTCAAACGTATTTTTTATGTTAGAAAATAACATATTGTCCATCCAGAAACTTATTTGCTAATTGCCATTTTTCTGAGTGCAGGTTCTCGCTTGTGCCCCGACAGGTTCGGGCAAAACTGCGTCTTTCTTAATACCACTCATACATTTGCTACGCGAACCATCGACAGAAGGCTTTCGAGCCATCATCGTCTGTCCAACAAGAGAATTAGCTAAGCAAACCTATAGTGAAGCCATGCGATTGGCAGAGGGCTCCGGCCTTCGTATCTATGTGCTTTCAAAGACATCAAATGCTCAGAGAAGGTACATTTTTTTCTCAGATGCATTGTTCTACTTAATTAAAGTGAATAAGATTTTATATTTGCCCGTTTTCCTTGGAAGTACAGATACATAAAATCAAGTCATAGTTGTCATATATGCGCTCAGTTGCTTGACAAAGCTTACCTTTGTGCAGAGCTATGATGGTGTATGACCGTGTTTATTTATCTGGAAGGTTCTCTTCAAAAATGTATGCAAGCTTGGATATAATGGTGACAACTCCCAATCGGCTGGTATGGATCTTACGTGAAACGGACCTATCACTCGCTCGAATACAATATCTTGTTATTGACGAGAGCGATCGACTTTTTGAAACTGGTAAAACGGGTTTTCGGGATCAACTTGAGAAGATTTACGCTGCTTGCATAAGTGGACAGCTTCGAAGGGCATTTTTCTCAGCTACAGCCAGCAAGGACCTTGATAGGTTAGTAGTTGGTCTGTAGCAGGATAATTCCAAATCACTATCATTTTACCACCTTTGAAATATTTACGTTCGTAGAGACGGGTTTACCACTGACACTAAATAAGCGTATCCAAACGAAAAAAATAAAGGGCTCGCGTAATATTTTTTTTAAATAATAGAATCGTCTTAATTCTAGTTGTGATCGGTTTAAAACGTTTTGCACTTACGTAACGTATCTCGCAGGTGGTGTCGCCTTCATCTGGATTCGCCAATCGCGGTGGCGATTGGCGCGAAGAACTCTGCCACAAAGCAGGTCGATCAGAAGCTCGTTTTTGTTGGAAACGATAACGGCAAGCTCTTTGAGTTGAGGTATACATTCTAAAATACTTTGTCTGTTTTTCATATGAATAGAATAGATATTCACTCATGTGCATCGTCTGATGCAAAAACAATCAAGCCAAATTTTGGAAAATGAAATTGAAGTAAATATCGGCCGACTTTAAGCTAAGCGCCCAGGAAGTCCGACTTTTGATTACTTTTCGAGAAAAACAGTTTTTCATTGATAACTAATTGATATATATTTCTTTAAAATTTTGGTTTTGGCATTTCTGAATTTACGCGCAAATTGCAGGCAGATCATCCGGAGCGGTGTGAAACTCCCAGTATTGGTATTTACTGAAACGAAAACAGCTGCCCAGCAATTATACGAGCATTTGGCATTGGATGGTTTAAGTGTTGATGTGTTACACGCGGGAAGAACACCTAGTGATCGAGATCGTATTATCGACAATTTCCGACTTGGTAAAATCTGGGTGCTCGTCTGTAGGTAAGTATTCCGTAGTCTGGAACGGATGGCGATCATATATTGTTATTCTGAAGAATAGTTGTGTGATTTAGTAATCGGACCCTCAAACTTGTGTCGTGAGCGCTATTTTTTCCGATTAGAAAATAACTTATCAGCATTCAAAAACCGATTATTTGTTGTTATTTTACATCGTTCCAGTGAACTTGCGGGCCGTGGAATTGATTTCAAAGGTGTTGAATTAGTTATAAATTACGATTTTCCTCAAACTACAGCAGCGTACATTCATCGCGTTGGCCGGACAGGACGAGCAGGTTGCACTGGTCGTGCCCTCACTTTTTTCACCGAATATGATGCACCTAAACTTCGTGAAATTATTCAGGCAAGGTTTTTACGATAATACAATCCTTATCCGTGTTGTTAATGGCTTTTTATGTATACCCATGAAAAATATGTTGCAATATGTTAGTCGCAATAGCTTTTTCGGGCTAGCAGAGACTGTCGTGTGTTAATCTGCATTAGGCATTATCACTTAATTTCTAAGGAAGTCATTTAGTTGAACGATATAATAATATTAGTTAATTCAACAAGTGCTAAATAAGTGCTAAATAAATAAACAGTATTGTTTGCTTGAGCGTCATAATGTTATCATGTAATTACTGGTTCTCATGTTGTACTTTTTTCATACGAGAGCAGTTTTTATGAAAGCTAAACAGTTGAGAAAGAACTATCTTGAGACGAGTACTTTCAAAAAAATAGCCTTCGCTATCGATCCCCAAACTGTTACCAAAGCAGTAGATCCGGGTTGAATTGGTTAGGAATCAAGAGTTCTTCACAATGATGCGAAGAATTATTGTAGTACGCAGTTAGTATTTACGCGATGGGTTGTTAAAAAATGACCTTGAATCTCAACCAAATTCTTATTCAATTCGAGTAACTTTCTGTAGGTGGTGCGAAAGGCCGGCTGTGAAGTGCCTGAATATATGTTGAAACTTAACACTAAACGATTGAAAAATAAGCTCAAGGTTAAGCGTGAGAAACGACAAAAAATGAAAAAGAAGACGTCCGAGAAGAATCTCGACGAAAAATTCGCTGAGAAGAAAAGGCAAAACCGTAAGCTGAAAAGGCTTCAAACCGGCCCCAAGAAAGACCGGGCTTTGGAATCATCTACGGATAACGTGAGTGCCTCAAATAGAAACTGCGAACAGGGCAAGCCATCAAAAAAATCCTTTCAAGAATGGAAAACAAAAGCAGGTGGTGAATACAAGTGTACACAGAAGCACCCTGGTCAAAAGCAAGAAAGTCTATTCCTTGATAGGATTGCTCAATCAAACGAATAGTAGCAAACCTGTATATTTTCATAAGCAGCGATAGCGTTTATTTTGTACATATAGTACATGTATAAAGCATAAATAAAGATGAAACGTGTCGGACTGCCATCCGTTTTTGTAAGTACATAATTGGGAAATGACGTACGTTTCCAAATAAGAGGCAATATATTTGCAAAATATACTAATGTATCTGCTTAGTCGAAAACCTTTAATCGAAATTTTGAAGACCTCATAAGGTTTTGCGTAACCGTATGGCAAATTTGAAGGCGAGTCAAAGGATACAAATATTATCGGTTGTGGTTTGGATTTATATGTGACCCGAGCGACACATGTACTGTCATTCAAGTGTTTTGCTAATGTTACCATAGAATGAACCTCGCCAAGGTCCTTTCGATCATTCGCGTATAAATCTGTTTGTGGAATTGAATAGTGCCGTTCGTGTGGGCAAGCGAATACTTGATGAATGTTACGTAATAATACTCTATCCTATTATGTCTGCAATACGCTTATTGTTATATATATTCGTTCAAATACAAATTTGAGTACGAGCCTTTCATCCTATTCCCTATCTGTCTAATATTGTGTACAAACCGTCGGTAAGTTTTGCGAATCGAAGATTGTAAAATAAGCCAAATAGTGCGTTTTTGAAATGACCAATTTTATATATCATCAAAGGTGGTGTTAAACAAACATTAATGAAATATGTCCGTTATTTTTTGGGGGGTTTCGAATCTTTATTTCCAAACACTTATAGAATATGTATTATTACTGGTATGCGTAAAAAAATTATGTCCTAACGCAGTTTCTAATCTTAATAATGGTTTAGATAAAGCAGTTTTTTCTGATCATTTTAGCATTTCGGTGCAAAGCAATAATGTGCCCTGTGCTTTATGCTTCCATTTGCCCTGCCTTAGAAGAAAGGATGAAATTAGACAAAGTAACTCTGCGTGGCTGTCGAGAAATGAGACGCTCTTGTTTTCCAAGCACTTTTTTATACTAAACGCAACGTTAAGCTTTTTCTGTCCCTGTCTCAATAGTGTAGGCAGTCGATAACGGCATTGTGCGTCACATGTATCACAGAGGAGAAACTCTTCTGAAGATACCTAGGTTACTTGTCGCTTTGTAACGATAAGATGAATTTTAAATTCATATCTGACTTTTCAAGCTGCATGATTGAGAAGAGTTTTTTTTAACTCGGTGGCATTGCTCATTCCATAACCAAGAAATATCATGTGGTATTTGCATTTGATGCCGCTGGTCGTGATCACCGCAAATTATATGCAATGGTCGATACTGACGCGATATCGGTGATAGGGCAACTACAAACATATTTCTATAAAATACGTAATGGTGACTATACTGCTATATACATAAGGATTATCTGGACACCGGGCTTTCATAAATCAGAACGCACGACATTTACCCGAGCTTAACATGGCACCTAAATGTTCAGGGTGTTCTACAGTGCCATATCTCATTATCCGAAATGAGCTTAACAAATTTCAGATCTATTATTATTATTACGGCCATTATTTTCTAACATTAACCGAGTTTTCAATAAACATACGTAGTTACCTTACCTACACACGTTCTACAGAGCGAAGGTAACTGCAGAGGGGATCCTGTATAAAATTATTAACTGAGCAGCCCAAAGCTAACCAACGCTGTGCAGGCACCTAAAAATTAAGCGTATGAGATATGCACAACAATAACAAGTTTATCGTGAGGCTTCATGAACCTGATGCTTACCAGGTATACCCATCCGATGTTATACTGTATAATTATGTATAAAAATAATTTCTAATGATGGTTTGGATTTGAGTACATGCAGCTCATGTACAGGATACGCAAGATATTCTATTATGTATGTATATGCATTACCATGGCCGGTTCAAACGACAGTCATATGTGTGCTTAAACCATCGATTGGTGCTCGTTTGTATGTATCTAAGGCCCAAACACAGGCAAGAGACTTGGGCCGCATAGGCTTGTTGCACTCACAAAGGGTGATAGCGGTCAGAGACATCCGAGCTTAAACCGTTGTGTGGACTGCTTTATGGGCATTTTTAAATAAGTAAAGTCTCTAAATTCGTCTCTAGAAGCTTTTAATTAACATGCCTTTCTTTACTCGTGCTAGTAAGCGTTTTCGAAGGAGTTGAACTCAGCATCGCCTTGTATTACACGGAAACCAACTAAATTTTCACCTCGTATCTAACAAACTCAACATCTCTCAAATGTCTGCCTTCAGTTGTTGTTTCCTTTAAACCTGCCAACCTTGGAGGTGCAACAATGTAAAACTTGCAAATGATTTAAGCATGCGTCGAAATTAAGGGCAGCTTTTGCACTCGTGTTTGGAAACTCTAAAGATCATTTGGAATATGGGAAAGTGGCTTCTGAAGCACATCAACTACCTCCAGCAGTTTTATCTCCCAATTATGACTGTTCCTATAAGAACTCCTGATGGTGCGTTTTTTCTTTGAGTACAACAGCCTAACTAATTTCGCGTGCATTTATCCTGGCTAGTACATAACGTTCGTTGGCTTAAAGTGGGCCTCCGCACCTAGCCAAAGCAGATATCAGGCCTTTGAATGTTCGTGCCATTGGGTGGAAACATCCAAACCCTGGGTCCTCGGTCGTCCAATCTGAAAAACTTCTTAACGCGGCTGTGCAAGCTGCTGGGTGAGCAGAGTTGAGCAAATTAAAAATTGTCATTGTTTCCTGCGTTTTCTCATGATATCGAACGAGCTAGCGATCCTATGGTCATAGACGCCACGGATGCCGTGCAATATACTTGTAAAAGGGAGCTACTTAATTCAACCTTTTGAGTACCGAAGGACACGAACGTTTTTTCAAACCGGAAGCGGCAATAAACGAAATATATGATTACTATGCTACAACAAAACTATGACGAGCTGACGAGCTCAGTCCCTCAACTACAAAAACTGATTCATTAATTCAATCGCTCAATAATTTGTCTTTAGGAAACTGCAATTTTAGTATACAAGAAACCAACTAACCTTAAACACTTCTCTGTCGCGCTCACGGCGGGGTCAATATGGCTGATGGAGTAGAGCTACCACGGCAGTACGCAAAAATTCACCTGCGGTGCAAAAAGTGAGTTTTGGGAAGCTCTGAGCTGCTGCAAGTTTACTTATCTTGCACATTTTAAAGCTGATTAATACATGCATGTATTACTTACCTCGTATTTTTTAATCCTTAGATGTTTAAGAAAAATTAGAACAATAACCTAATAATTACTGCGATGTTCCAAAGGCGTCCTAAGATAGATTTCAATATATCGGTAAGTACCTTCAATAGATCACACTATGCTGCAAGTATTCTCCAAAAAACGTTTGGATAAACGTTTCTTCAAACAGAGTAATCTATCTCTCCTTCATTTATAACTCTAAAAATATTTCACTAATTCACTAAAAAGTGAAGAAGAATATACCTATGACGGTGATTCAACTCCGTAATCGATGTTTGATGAAGGCGTGCTCGACTAATCTGAAGCTATAGCATGACTATTATGGGCGATCTCATATTGATTAAAGTGAATATTGATCCAAAATCGAAGTTACTTTAATCCCATATGTCTATGTAATTCGCTCACACAAGTTTAGCTTTTTAAAAAGTCCTTTTCCTTTAGTTAGAAACCGCACTATTGAAAAAACTTTTTTCTAAATAACAGCATCCGAATATGTTATCCTTTTATTAAAGTTATAATTAGTAAGCTCATTCGATAAAGTATTATTGCTGCTTGATTTCCTTCAAAATTTACTTCTTAATCAAATACCATGTATTTGTTTGTGCACATCTGTAAACGATACTGAATCGATGGTTCACGAAACAAGTACGAGGAACTAAGTGCTTAGAAGTCGATGTATGCCTTGCAGAGAAGCTTATTAGGTGATAACTGTTAAATTAGCAAGTCACTTAATCTCAGAAATTTGCAGCATTCTCACTGTTTTAGCTTGCTCTCTTGCTTACTTCAAAGCCATTTAATCTAATTAGCAATCTGACGAGTTAATAAAATGAGAAACTTACAAAAAGCTTGAAAAATAGCTTGCTGTTGTATTGCCATAGCTGTATATATGATCACGAATTTAGGCAGTTAATAAGATTCGACATAAATTAAGTGACAACGGAATGAGCAATCCTTACTCGGAAGTAGCGATTAAGCGAATTTTAAACAGACAGATATTTTTGATATTTGATTGATAATTGATGACAGTTCCACCGGAAGCAAACAATATATGAAAATTACCATCCAGCGTAATCTCTAATAGATGCATCATCAAAGATTCAAATCGCGGATGAAGAGCTGATAGTTATGATGAAATCGTCTTTGAAATCGGTAGACATTATTGCGTGACTATTCTGCCAGTCGTGTCCTTGTACTCGGAAAAGTGCACACAGAATTGGGACGAAAGTATACAGCTAACACGCTTGAATGAATATAAGTTTAAGAAGTTAGTTTATAAGCAACTTCTAGTAACTGTGGAGACTAAATAATATAAGAGAATAAATAACACAATTAGAGCTGGCTGGTCAGTAAGATTTGAACTGTTCGACGAAAGTAAAGGGTTAGCAAGAGACATTTACGAATATCAATTCGAATTTTTGAAGTGGAATCGTTTTTGCATAGGATCAAGTTGAGCCTATTACAGAATACTTTTTTCGACCATTAAGCTTCGTCTTTCTATGAATCCTGATTCTTTTATTATTTATTTTATTTTAGTCACTAATAGTTTTCAAACGCTTCCCTGGCCAGATGCACCGTACTCGCTGCATTATTTCGTTAGCCGTGGAGAGCCCTTGCAAAACACATGAAAAAGTTTATTATTCAGACATCGCATAGTTGCTCGGCAGTGACTGTGTCTTAGAACGTTCAAAACACTGCATCGTAACCATTTCGAGGTACCGCATTCGTTACTAAATGTGAAATTTGTATCCGAAATATATTCAGTCAGTTTTGCATGCGGCAAAGCATTAACTTGGCCTAGTCATTTCCGTTCTTAATGCTTAATTAAATACCCGAAATAAACGATTTGTCCAATCGTCTAAAAACGGCATACGAAGGCTGCAAAGGAGAGGTTTTATTCGGTACACTTTGCTAATGTTCTTGAAAATTTACCACACCACTTTCAATCTAATCGTTAACAGAAAGAAGCATTACGACAGTTCCTTAGTCAACCGATGCTAAAGTACTAAACTTCATTTGGCTCAGCAGAACGTCGTGAAGAGAGGGTCACTTTGGCGGCGTGAAGCTAATATTCAGGATTGACTATACTAGAAAAACATCAACGGTGGCATTAGTAAAATGGTGTGGAAGGCCAGGCGTGACTATATGGTAAGCTAGCGCAACGCTTGACTATTTGAAAGTGTCGCCTTGCGAAGTTTGAGGAAACTGTTTCTACGAGAGTGTGCAGGGAAGGTAACCATAGCAAAAAACAAGGTATCAGCTTTGTGAACATGGACTTCACCCTGTTTGAATTTTTTCAGCAGTATTGCGAAAACCCATACTGTTGAACATGCTACTACGAAGAATCCACAAATACACTAAGACAAAATCATTTTCGTTGACGAATAAAGCTATAACAAAGCAATAACACCGTTTTTTTTTTATATATTTTCAAATTTACGCATATCAACCATGTTGCCATTCGCAACAGTCATGCGCTGTACAGGTAGTTCTATCTGCGAAAAGCTGTATATCATATTCGATAATTGCAATCTCCGCGACAATGAGATGGGTTTGAGCTGAACAGAATAGACCTCCGCGGTCGGCATTATAAGAAGATCCGCTCCTTTAAACTAACAGCGACTAAGATAGCAGCAACAACGGAAGATTAAAAACCACAAAAATATGCGTTGCATTTTAGTAGCGTGAGTACCAAAGAGGCTAGCACGCTCTCAGACAAATCAGGCCAGATCATGGGATCTCGCGACACCTCAACCAGAAGCTGAACACGAAACGATATAGGCAGCCATACATACTTTAACAGCTCTCTCTGTACTGATGCCTGAGACCAAAACAATCAGAGAAATCGTACTAGGCAGTGCAAAATCCGATGTGCATTACGATGTTCACCACCTTTCTTGCAGTTTTAAATCGTAACGTGTTTAAGAATCGTCGGGTTCATGAGCCTCCAGGATCGGGGGCTAAATAAACAAATACATAACGACAAATGTTTATACGTCAGCTAGAAATGGACTGGTTTCAATCGAATCACTGGTATTATTCGAGATTATCAGTAGCATATCTCGTATCACCAAAAAACCGCCAACATATAAAAATGTTATAAAAAAAATCATACTATCTTATGCTCATCACACTCTTAAAGAAGCGCCATACGACTAATATTTTTACAGGCAATCATTATTACCATTTTTGCATTGGTCTCTTAATACTATTCGTACCTCGAGAGTTAAGACTACAGTTTTCAATTAAGTAAAATAATAAAAAGTCGATAATTTGACCACGTTTGACTAAAATAAACGGCATTCTACTCTGTACTTCTGATATGGCTATTACAAGCAAATGTAGGGGACTTTAAAATTGAACGGCTTTTGAACGGCGTGCTGCTAGTAGACGAAATTTGGCAGATAAATACTCCACTCTTCTGAAAAATTGCGAGTGAAGGCATCGAAGCTCCTCGAAGGCCATAGCTCTGCGGAAACTCATCGAAAGTTGGCGAAGATATTAGATAAGCAGGTCTTAAGCGAAACATAAACCAAATACTAGAAATGCGGAAACTAAGTAAAGAATGGGTCCCCAGTGAATTGAGTCTAGGTCAGTTAGAAATGTGTGTATTCTACATGCAACCTACAATCACTTAATCGACAAAGGTTCGCTGGGAGCCGTCTTAAATGAAGCATAGTTCAATCATTACCGCCAGCCGAAGGGGGACCAGACTAGCCAGACCCCATCGCCACGTTTCAGTTACTTCTTGGATTATGCAAAGGAATGTCGCCTGTTGGTTTTAACTCGCTTATTTTCCTAATCTGTGTCTATGTTATTATGAGGCCCTAAAAAGACAATTAATGGATAAGTATGTTTTACGATTAAGTTTACAAGCCATAGATTGAGAAATCACATATGGGAAAGCCCATCATATGTATATCATTGTGCAGAAGACTACAGAGCGATAGGACACATATGTAAGAAACAAAAGAGAGTTTCTCTAACATGTATTAAAAATAATCACTCCCAACTGGTTCAAAAGTCTGAAATGGGCCTACGGCGTCACGTGTTGTAAACATTTAGCAAGACTATTGAAACGAAATGTTTCAAGTCTTGTGTCTGGCATCACTGTTAAGCATTTTATGAGAACGCCGGCTTCCAGTACGAAACGGAACGTGTGTCTATGCCCGGATTCAAACCCAGACCACGACGTGTCTCTAAAGTTAGCAGGCAAATACGTTATCCTATAAGCTACCATAGAGAAAAAAACAATTGACGCTGAGACGTTTGGACCTGATCCAAGAAAAACGAATGTCCGATTTGTCTAATATGTACACCGCATCTTGTAGAATTGCATTGCGCCCGTATCATATCAGGAAACGGATGCTCATCGAAAAGCAGGCACTAAAGAACAGACGTTAGTAGGACAGCATAACCATGTTTCAGATTCAGATCGCTAACTCCTCTTTTCATTCGATAGCCTTCCACCGTAGTTTTGAATGTCAAGTATGTATCGCTTTTGGTAAAGCAGGCGGCTGAAATACGTCTTTATGGGGCCGTAATCAGATCGGATTGATTTTCTGGTACGATAATCATCTGCAACAATGTATCGATGCCGGCATCAGATGAGCTCCACAGTCAAAGCACGATGCTCACAAAACATGTGAACAGCAAACAGCAGAGTACAGTCAGCGTTTGCCAAAGAACGTATTGCAATGGGACTATGAGAGCGAAACAGAATGGTCGGATTACAGATACAATACTTTGATTTCGTCGTCGGCTGTGTGTTTTCATAAATTTTGAATCAGACTGTAAGTACCTAAACGACAAAACCCAGCGGACAAATTATTGGTAATGCGCGTCAGCTCAGCTCGTGTGATTGAACTGGTGTTTAAGGTCTTGTATTTGTACATGAATTTTCTTAAGGAGTATCGGTCATTCACTTCGTTATTACCTGTTCACGTAAGCAGGAACCTGCACATATGAATGATTATGTCGAAGCAATTTCCTTGATATCGCTATGCTAACACCAATAGTGACGACCATGACGTAAATTTAGTTTGGCCATAAACTCGACCGGGTCTCCTTTTACTGAAGTAAACCCTGATGTAAGCACCTGTCGTTACGGGCCACCTCACTAGCACCCCATATTTTTCGACTTGATAGCGTTCCAGATGTACTACAGTGTCTTTTAGCATTAAATATAGCATTTCTATTTTATACAAATCGTATATCCGTAGATTAAGATCGATTTATAGAGACACATATCAGTGTGCAGATGCTATATCGAAGTTGCATTGATTACTAAAAAAAAGTATGAAGTTATCTCTGCAAAAGAGATCTTGTTCGAAAGTCTAATAAAGGCAAAATTATAGTGAAATTTTCCATCATTTAGTTACCTATTAAATCTACAATTTAGGGCTAAACAAATTTACTCCATCTAAACCAGCTGTTATAAAAAAAACGGCAACATAGGTATTATATCTATCACTACTTGTATAGCAAATTTTTGTCGTGTAGATCATCATAACGTGGCCTTGAAACAACTCCTAATTTAGTAAGGGCAGCTAATTAAGATTGATCGCATCATATGGATATTCCCGTCGAAAAGACTAAAGATGTTTTGGACTCTTTATTTTTGCTCTAACTTTTTAAATAACCTCACATATTAGAAACTATACTAATTTTGTGGTACCTTTAAGGCAAGACCGGAGGTTAAGCACAAACGTAATTATATTTATTTCGTAGTTGCATTGTGCAACATTTGTGTCCGGTAAGCATATTAGTAATCTTCTTCGTGCCTTATTGTACTCAAAAAGAAATTACGTTGCTTTGTCATCTATATTATTATAGTTACGTAAATACAGTTTTATTGTGATTTGACCTCATACTGGTTTTAATTTCTTAAATACATTTGTGATAACGTGCTTGGTGCCAAGTTGTCATGCATACTTTCGCCCTTCAGTGGCGCTCGCGCTCCCCTTCGCTGTTGTTTTTTAAAGCAGACGACAGCGTGAGGATGTTCGACTGTGCGAAAAGTATAAACAAAAACAAAGTGGGATCTTGTCACATGTGCGGTCCGTAGTATTTTTTTGTTTTGTGTTGCCGTGCTCTTTCACTGGTGTAAATGCGAACGCGAAGGACTAGTTTTATGAATGCAGCACAATGTTAACACAAAAGGTGTTTATACGTAAGACTAAGCGAGGCAATATTCTGAAGATTGTTAGAGAGCACTACCTTCGCGAGGATATTGGCTGCGGTTCGGGAGCATGTTGTAAATGCAACGATAATTGCGCGAAACCTCTGCAAAAAGACTTTAAAAGTGCTAGTGAAGTGGTTAGCTACCCTCATTATGTTGTGCCGGATACGAACATTGTTTTCCATCAGGTAAGCTATTTCTTTTTCAATCAGTTTTCTCAACGGTAAAAGTTAAAGGCAAAAAACAAAGCTCAACGCAAAGCAACTAAGTTATATGACCTTATTCAAGAACTTTAATAGTAAGTAGCTATCTTATATTTATATCGGAAGTTGTATTCAAGAATTATCTTCAATCTACTGCCGGATATATTCCGTAATATCATATTTAAAGACATAATACGTGTATGTGCCTACAAAGCTCAATCTTTTAATGACACAAAATGTATGAAATTTGAAACGTCTTTTTTAATCCGGGTACGTATAGCTTCATTCAAGCAAAATGCTATCTGTATTTAGGCACCAAATAGCCAGTTTGCAGTGCAATAGGGGTATTAATCGTAAATTAATCAGCAATCCTTCATCAGTTTGATTTATCTATTGCCACAAAACTCAATAGCTCTATATGTGAGGTAGTGCAATTCTGACTAATAATTGTTGATTCTATGTTACATTGATCCCAGATGGATGTCCTAAAGGACGATTCTTTCCGCAACGTAATTGTCGCTCAGACGGTGATCCAGGAGTTGCGACATCGTCACGCGCCAGCGTACAATGCCGTCCGAGAAGTCATGGCTAATCAAAGCAGACATTTCCACTGCTTCGTTAATGAACATCATAAGTAAGAACAATTTATACTCTCTGTACTGGGTTGCTGGAAAGATATTGATCATTTCTAAGCCATTGAAGTATTTTTTCGTATTATAAAGTACTACTATGAAACTAAATATGCGTTATGTCATTCGATGACCTAGTACCATTTGTCGAATGACACCATAATCCCATTACAGTAAAACGTCGCCTGTTTCTAGGTGAAAAATTGTGACAGTGATCTTTTACTGTCTAATAAAGTAACTAAATGACTACCATTAAGGAAATTCTGCGGAAATCGAAATAGATTATTGTCTAATTGCAAAACCCGAATATGCGGCGGATGTAATAGAATTTCCTATCCAAGTTCTTTCAATGTTCGCCGGCCAGCTAATATATGTACGTTTTGGCATTCTCATGGTGGAAGGTGACGTCTTATTTATTAACTAGTCTCAACCGATTCTTTTTCAATGCCTTGTTGTAATATTGTTAGTTGTTGACAAGGTCCTAACCAATTTTTTTAGCAGGTGGCAGTACTTCATAATGCACCATTCATTCACAGTTCTGCTAACCCTACAGCCTTACTTCTTTAATTTGCCACAGACTGTAAAACACATTTTTTTAACCTTTATTTGCACGTAATTATTACATATATATATATGCCAAATATAGACTGATAATAAATCAGAGTCAGTACGTTTTCTTTTTAAGCTACATATACTCATTCTCGTGTTTTACCCTCTCTGCCAATTGCGCTCAGGGACACTTACGTGGAACGGCTTCCAGGAGAATCTGCTAATGACCGAAATGATCGAGCCGTCAGGCGTGTTGTCCATTTCCTTCAAAATCATTTCAATGAACAGGGATTGGCCATTAAGGTAGGCATGACCAACGCCGAGATTTGATGTAAGGATGATTTCGTCACGATGTTTTATACTTTGTTTTGCATGAAATATGGAGACTTTTACTGGATGAACGTTGAAGCTGAAAGTAGAGCGTCGTGTATTAACTTTACCTTTTAACGAAGCATTACTAAGCTTAGAACTAGGTCTAAGGAACGTAGAACTATGAAGGTAAAGCATTAATTATAATCAATGTTGTCTTTATTCACGATAGGTCGTCCTTATAACCGATAATCGAGCGTGCTTGGCTTTGGCGAAAAAAGAGGGTTTAACAGCTTTCACCCTCAAGGAGTACGTGGGAGGAATGAATAAGCCGGAACTTTTGGACAAGATTGTTATTGGGCAGGATGGATCCGGAGAGGTACTAATAGTATTGATATAATTGACTGTTTGTCTAGTGCGATAGTTTATTGAGTCCTGCCATTCAATATACAGCGGAGCATTATCTACCATTGTTTAAACAATCTCAACGCGCTAGTAATTCTTTTACAATATCCTCCGCAAGCTGATTATGCACAAGGTAGGCTTACTTGCCAGAGGCCATACGGGTCCTATTTATTGCTGTCACATGAATGCAATTTGCGCTCTTCTTTAACTGATGCGTCAGTTTAATAACTTCTACAAATTACTCACACGGGTTTTAAAGTTAATATCATGTATGGTATTTGTACAGTATACGTTTTATTTTTACCATCTACAGAGCCTTTTCAGCTCTCTCTTAGGGGCCAATAAGATAATTTTTACTATGTTCTAGGGAGATCCTGTAGCCTCAAAGAAGTTTATGTACCCTGAACATCTGACAGCAGCAGCTCTGCAGTCTGGAATAAGAGCTGGACGACTTCGCGCAGGAAAATTCATGGCGTCACGAGAAAATTATCTTGAAGGCTATGTATGTTTTGGAGATGTAGACAATGAAGATGAGGCAGATAGGGTGCTTATACAGGGCCTCATGAATCTTAACAGGTACTTTCTTTAGGTTTTTAGGTTTAGAGATTATTAATGAACATGGTACATTTATTAATGATAATCAAATTTATAATACAGTTGTTACCTCACATGCTTTTAGTACGATTTATTTGTAGTGACAATTGCAGTAATTGGAGAATTCGGTAATTTATTAGTTCTTTTATCCACTTCTGCTCCTGATATGGTTTTTCCGCGTCTAAACGATCCAAGTTTTTTATTATTACTTCTATCAATTTCTATATTGATTTTTTTCATGTTTTGTTAGAAAAGGAACAGCAACAATATTATAAGCAAACCGGCAGTAATTTATATAGCAACTGCTTAATGTGATGTAAGAATCTGCTAAAAAGGAAAATAATATAAATCCATTTGGATGTATTAATGCATTATGGATTAATGCATTTTCTTCTACAATACGACAGTTACAATTGTCTTCTATGATTTATTAATATTTTGGGAATTTTCTTATAGGTCCGTACAAGATGACACTGTTGTAGTAGAGTTGCTAGCCGAGTCCGAATGGGCAACTCCCTCATCCGTTGTACTTGAGGATGAAGTCGAGGAGGCAGATAAGGTCGATGAAGAAGACGACGATGGTGATGAAGCTCGTCGAGAAAGAGCTCTTGAACGGGTCCTGAGGGAAAGTAAAACGGAAAAAGGAGTGAAAAAAATGCCGACAGCAAAGGCTAGTGAACAAAAATCTATTGATCACGCTACAACAGCGTTATAGTTTAACATGCTTCTTCTAAAGACAGTCACTTATGAAAGCAAAAAGCTTAAGCGTACGCCTATTTGGATTTGTGCCCAAATGCGTATGTGTTTGATACATACTGAGATTGTAAGAACTTAATATGAAATTCCTATTGAGAGATTGTTCATTTAGCGGAAGTTTATGCCCTGACATCAAACCACTTATTGTGTCCTGTAGTGCGAATATCATGTTAGTCTCTATAGCATATTTAAATAATAACGTCTCTACTCGACGTTTTTATCACAGTGTTTGTATTTATCTTCAGGTGGTCGGAATCTTGCGACGTAAGTGGCGCCCCTACTGTGGAATCCTTGCTCCTAGCGCAATCAAGGAGGCAACTAAGCATCTATTCGTGCCAGCCGAAAAGAAAATCCCAAAGGTAGGTATACATCGAAAATATCCTGCGACAAGTTTTTCGTTATGAGGATAGGATGCGACAGTTCTTATGTTTACGATCAGTTGGTTGTGCCATTTAAATGTTTCAATAGATGAGAAGAAAACGATATGATGTAGTGTTAAAATCTAGTTCAATATCATGTATCTCTCTGAATTTAGATTCGAATCGAAACACGCCAGGCGCCGACTCTCGCAGGCAAAAGAATTGTTGTCGCCATCGACAGTTGGCCTCGTCACTCAAGGTCGGTGACACAACAAATAGCACATTAATATAATAAAAAATATTTATTTGGCATATTGTTCAGGTGTCTCATTAACCACATTTTGATGTCTATAAATAAGGATGTTAGCTGTATAATGCGACTCTTTCTCACTTAAATGTTTAATATTAGAAAACGAAAAGCCAATGCTTTTTACTCAATTCAACTCACCCTCAAATATGTCATGTTGCTTTGTAGATATCCATTGGGCCATTATGTGCGCACGATAGGAGAAATTGGCGATCGACAAACGGAGAATGAAGTCCTTCTGCTTGAACACGACATTCCGCATCAGCCGTTCTCAACAGCTGTTCTTAACTGCTTACCGAAGATGCCTTGGATAGTCACTTCCGAGGTTAAAAAATATACGTAAATTCACGATATTTAGCAAGAGGGAGACTACGTTAATCGTATCTATCTAGACTATCTCTAGTCATCGAAGAAGTAATCGCAACTTGATGGGTGTCTGTTTTATGTTCTTACAGGACGAAAAGCAGCGTGTAAACCTTCGAGACGTGCCAATTTGCTCTGTCGACCCCCCAGGCTGCACAGATATCGACGATGCTTTGCATGCGCGTCATTTGCCGAATGGAAACATCGAAGTTGGAGTTCATATTGCCGACGTATCTCACTTTATTAGACCAGGAACGGCCATTGACAAAGAGGCCGCGGATCGAGGAACCACAGTTTATCTCGTAGATCAGGTAGACTGCTCGTATAAAACTGCTACGTAAATGCGTAATAATAATTACTAATATTTGTTAGTCATTTACTTTTATTATTCATCAATTTCGATATAGAAAAATAACTTGTACTTTTTCTAAGGAAAACAGAGCCTTTTTAGTTACACTAAACATATAACATGCAAAGACAATCGTCTGCAACTTTGCGATGTCTATGGCAACTGTGTTATTCGTTTATGAAACCACCCTTTTAAATGAATATTCATTAAGACAAAATTCATATAAGGAGCTGTCCATATGAGATGGTCGTCAAATAAGGTTAAGATTTATATCTTTGGTATTTTATTCCGGATATTTGGTGACTTGCGAAAGGGCATGGTGGCTAGGCTAAGATTTTAGTGGCATAACTTATTTCTAACAAGTTAAGCTCTCTCTTGAGAAGAATCATACTTTTCACATTTTATTTTAGCGCATCGATATGATTCCTGATTTGCTCAGCTCAAATCTATGCTCACTTCGTTCCAAAGTTGATCGTTTTGCTTTTTCGGCGATGTTTGAGATGACGCCTGACGCTAAAATAGTATCAACTCACTACCACAAAAGTATAATTCGAAACAAGGCATCACTCACATATGCTGAGGCTCAAGCAATGATTGACGATAAGGGCCGAAATGATGACGTTACCCAAGGTTAGAAAAATATACAGTATTTTCCCTTACATATTTGATGTTAGTTTGAACATCTGTTAGACGCTATATTTACGGTGCAAGTAGTATGGTGTAAAGGTTTTCCCTTAAGCATGCTATCCTTGTAGCTCTATTTTGACAAGGTCAATATATATAGAATAGTGTATCACATTTTCTTTATGACAAATACATACTAGCACTTCACTACGAAAATAGTTATTTATTAACAGGTTCTGTTAAATGTGTTTAAAATTGCGTTTTTAATAACAACAAGGATTCAACAATTGGTGACGCAGCTTTCATACTGCCCTGCTATTAATATTACTTTCGGCTATGTTTTAGGTCTTCGCTTACTAAACGTGTTGGCGAAAAAGTTAAAATCAGAACGAATCGCCAATGGAGCACTGGGTTTGGCGTCAACTGAAGTTCGGTTTCAAATTGATATGGAAACGCACGATCCCATTGACGTGAAGACTAAAGAACTTCTGTAAGTGCCTATTACATAACTATTAGATATGTCATTCTGGATCGGTTAGATGAATACCTAAATTAATCCATAAACACCATGTTACCTAGTGTTACGCTGATGTCTTATTTTGCTATGTGTGTATTTTCCAGAGAAACTAATTCAATGGTTGAAGAGTTTATGTTATTGGCAAACAAGTCTGTGGCTGAACGAATTTATCGTGAATTATCTCATTGCGCCATTCTGCGACGACATCCGATTCCTCCTGTGGGTAACTTTGATCCTCTCGTAAGAGCTGCCGCCACACGTGGATTTACCGTAAAGGTAAAAACAAATAATTTAATTTTAAGTCTTTTACTTTAAATAAGTTGAGCTTAAAAGAGGCGTTTCATCAGCTCGAAGCTTGTAGATAAAGGCTACAGGGGTTCTTGATAGGTGGTAGAAGTTTTACTACAATGCAGATATTAAATTATTCAATTTGCATCATATTTCTTGATTTCACCACATAATACATGCAGCGTTATTTATTAGAATTGTAAATTTCTTTCAATAAAAATTTAACAGTGAACAAACCTGTAGACTACTCATATATATTCTAAATATCTATTACCTTTATAACTAAACAGATAACGTACATTGGTGTTTATGGAGGCGAGGAAGATAATTGCCCTTGTTTGCAAATTTTGACAGACGAAAAATCAAGCCCATTTTAATTTTGCTGATTGACAAATTTCTCAAAGCCTTTCCTGTTTGGCTGAAACTAAAGGTTTGAATTTTCAGCTGTTAACAACCCTTTTTGTTGATACACTTCGTTACATTGATGAAGCCGTATAATGTAATGCGTCACGCGGTTTTGGACGTATAACTACGAATATCCTCAGGAATACATTTTTGAAGTAAAAGCAGAGTTACTAGCGTTCAAAAGCCAGGTTGTCAATGCTGGCAGTGTAAGCATGAGAAATGTTGTTTATCTCAATTTTATCAATAAATTTAAATTAAAAAAACATTGACTGGCCTTTTTAGGTGACAAGTGGAAAGGAGCTGGCTGACTCACTGGATGCTGCAGACGAGCCGAACGATCCGTTCTTTAACACGATGTTACGAATGGTAGCAACGAGGTGTATGACTCAAGCCATATACTTTTGTGCAGGTACGGTCGCCGAAGCCGATTTCCTGCACTACGGATTGGCGTTGCCGTACTACACGCATTTTACTTCACCAATCCGAAGGTAGGTCCAAGCACATCTTGAAATGTGCTGCATTTGTTTAATTCGTAAGAAATAGAGTTATTCCCGTAGCACATAGGAACTAGCGGCTGATCCACACATACACTAGTAAGCAAGCGGTCTGGGATATTATATATGTGTTTAGAGATAATCGCTGTGTGTAGCCTCGTGATACATTTCCATATTACCCGAGTGGACTCAGTTCTTTGCACGCATATTCCTTTTAGATACGCCGATTTGATGGTACATCGTTTACTCGCCGTAACCATATCCGCTGACGCCACCTATCCTGATCTTCTGGATAAGCATCGCTCACAAGTACTTTGCAACAATCTCAATTACCGTCATAAGATGGCTCAATATGCAGGAAGAGCCTCTATGTCACTGTACACACAGGTGGGAATGCCAAATTGATTGTCGTTGTTGTTAATAACAACTCATGCCTCTCAGGTGTGCTTCTATATTCTTGTCAGGTTGTTCTCCGTTTCACATTTATATATGCTGTCATTTTCAGAGATATTTCCGAGAAAAGTGTGCCTATGAAGAGGGCTACATTCTGTTTGTGCGCGAAAACGCCCTACAGATTCTTCTGCCAAAGTTTGGTATGGAATGCACGCTCTATGTAAAAGACAAGCCAGGTACTGCTCAACCAAGAGTTACGATACCTTTCACCTATGATGAGGAGCGCTGCACGCAAGCCGCTAAGGGAGTTGTTCTCCGCCAATTTGAGCGTGTCACAGTTCGTGTTTCACTCGATCGAAGCAATATACAGCACCAAAAGGTCGTCGTGGACTTAGTCGATCCGTTCGTAAGTATCATTTAAATTTTCTTTAGTTTTTTCTTTTAATTTTACTTGAACAAGGCGTTAGAGATTTCAAGGTCCGTTCAAATGTATGAAATAATAGACCTTCGTATTTTATGGACTTGCAACTGTTTTCTTTGCTAGCTTAATATTTCGTAGATCACTGCCATTTAAGGTTTTCATTTCTGTCAAGCATTTCCAAAGCTCTGAAATGAATTGTTGCTCAAATAACGTTTTAATAAATATTAAAATACACTTGTTTTATCTAATGATCTACCTCTTGATTATTTGTAGATTCCAGGGTATAGTATTGAACAGGTGAAGAAAGAAAAAGTTCAGTTTAATGAAGAAAACCCTACTTTGGAAAAGAATCCGGCGAAATCCGAAGCAGCAGCTCGAAAACAGAAGGGAAAAGTCGCAAAAACTAACAAATAATAGCTCAAAAGATCTTCATGGAGAAACGTTTACTATTTCTCCTGTATCTGACTATGTATATACAAGCACACTCGTATTTCTTATACATTTCTATTATATATATCGAAGTAACGATATATACCAATGATGTCATAAGAATAATGTTTGTATTAATACTGCTGTTTTTGTTCTAAGAGCATTTCTATCCCAGTTATGAATTAGAATGGTGCCGATTATCCAATGATCCTCAAAATATGCGACCCATTATTTTTGGACGGTACATATGTCATAGTCGATGATACGATAGTAAAAACGTTAGGTGAGGATACTTATAATTACTGGACTATTTAAGAATTTTATGTTTATGGTTAATGTAAGAATGATGTTTCATTTTGTTTTTGATTATAATAATAACGCAGTCGCAATCCTGGTGTGCTTTATGTGAAGCTTTGTTTGTTCAACAACTGTCACTTAAATATATTTTTTAAATATATTTTGCTTAAAATATATTTTGCTGGAAATGACATACTACTACAATCGAACGGTAGTATTCTGGATTCAGGTCCCAGCTGAGTAAAATGGGATCTTCTCGGGAGAGTGAGTGTGAGTTCAAAAGGTCCTTTTTGTATGCAATTATTTAAGCTCACTATTTGAACGTTTGTAAACGGAAAAATGCTCTATTGCTTATAGGTAAGAACACAAGTGATATGTTCTGCTCTCGTACCTATTTTTGTAATAAATTGAGCTAATTTAAGTCAACGTTTTTTTATTCAAAAAAAACAAGGTTGTGACGCAAGATATGTATAGGTAGGCATTAGATTCGTTTATCGCAAAATAAGTCAGATTATATCTAGGAATATTATTAGTGAAAGTGTGACACAGTGTGATTTAAAAAAAACAGCGTAAAAGTGCGATTTCTATAGTAATGTTTTACCGCTTTTACTAAAATGCTGAGTCACCCACGGGAAAATCTGAATGATTAATCACTAATGGAAGAATGATTATGAAATATTTTTTTATTTCTATATGGTGTTTTTGTGGCATTACTTAAGATTACAGGTTTAACTTCTGGATATCAATAGATCGTTAATGTGGTAAGGACAGTGTTGAAAGATATAACGGATAGGACTGATTCATGATTTATGTGTAAACCCGCGTTATGTAGCTTATGTACGCGCTGGTTGCTTGCCAATCACTCTTGCCACATATGTAAACTTATTAGTCCTATACTAAAATCATACGCTGTAAATATAACCTTTCTGCAAATAGTGGGAAAAAAAAATAGGATATAATAACTGAACCAGTGGTAATTTTTTAATTATCAATATTTTTAGTACAAGGAAATCTATCGATATTCAATATTAAATCCGGCTCGCCAGAATGAAAAGGGCTAAAAAGCTGATGCGCTAGAGTAGTGTTTTTATTCTTCACACATTTTTATTTTATATACGTGTTTTCGTTCAAAGCACTTATTTTCTAACATATAGCACTTTTCTGCTACGTTCCAGCCGCATCAAGGACCAGCAAAACAATCATTATTTAACCCTCTCCCCTAAATGGACTTACAGTAGACGCTATGTTACTAAACAGACAAACTGATAAATCTTGCTTGGCCGCCGTCGGTACATGGTTCCGGCATAATGTACAGTTTGGAGGAAGATGAATAATAATTAAGAAGTTGTTAGTGTCCTCAGTGAGACATCGTTAAAGTACCTTCGTTTGTGAAGGACGTTTTTATGAGAAAAAATAAATAGAAAGACCCTTTGCACAACGTTACTCATCATGGACACATCCGGATGCAAGCATCTGTTTGACGGCACTCGAATGCTCACCTCGTTTCATTAGTTCGGTATAAGCGGACTGCACGAACTACCTTCCAGCTATGTCTGAGGTGATCCACCTTTCTTTTACCTAAAATAAAATCATTTCCGTCTATATTCAAATTGACAGTGAATTTATGAAAGAATGGATTTGCATGCGAGAGCAAACGTCATGAATGGCGTTATTCATTAAACTTAATGATCACATCATCTGTAACTTGTAATTGGCACTGATCTGCTTCAAAACGAGTTCGCAACATCTAATTGGGTGCGAAAGACCTTCGAGCCTTCGTATAGTTTCATAAAATGCCTCATTCGTGGAAGAAACCAAACATAGCTATGTCATTGGGAAAGGCGTTTCACTTTACCCCAGCCGATCTTCCCGATATACAAAAATATTCTAAATTGCTGTGCAGATTCCTTCACGAACATCAGTGGCTAATCGACGCGTTCGTCCTTGATTTTTTTCTGTGCAAGCATTGGCAGTATATTCCCCGCGGATGGAGCTCCCTGCTCGACAAAGTGACTATTCCACAAATTGCTTGCTTTCTTGAGGGTCAACCCAGATTTCCAAGCAAGGTGCCACCGCTTTCGTTTTTCGCGTTTCTGAGATTATGTAAAATACTACCAATGGGCCGTCGATCAGTAGTTTGTTCTACACGGGCTGAAATGGACAACTACGCCTTTGAGGACACTCGCTACTCTCTGACCACTGCCTTTAAGCGCCATATGAAGGGTAAAAAACGCCACGAAATCGGTCGGCTCGCCAAGTTGGCGGCCGGTTTATTCGAATCGCAAGGCAGCACTGACAGTAAAGGCGTCACGCACGTTCTAGATGTTGGCGGCGGTCAGGGCCATCTATCGCGGCTTCTAAGCTTCGGCTATGGGCTGCGTGTGGCCACGCTCGATGCGGAGGGTGCGCTTGTAGACAAGGCGCAGGTGTTCGATGGCAAGGTAACTAGAGATTTGGGACGGGCCAAATATCGAGAACGTCTGCGGCCGGGCTTTGTCACGCAGGAGTTTCTACCACCGGTTCACCTCGAGAGAACAATCGGAGTAACCACAGCTGCCGAGGATGTCGAGTTTGTCACACGCACAGCATGGAAGGATCCGACTGTGCAGTTTGGTTTGATTGGCCTCCACACTTGCGGAGATCTTGGACCCACCATGTTTCGACTGTTTCGCGAAAGTCCTCAAGTAAAAGCACTCGTATCGGTTGGCTGTTGTTATCACAAAATTCATCATCTATATCCGCTAAGTGATACGCTTTGCAGTGAACAGCTAAGCTACGAGGCCAAGGAGGTGGCGTGCCACTCGATTGAGACCTACATTAGAAAGCTACTGGAGGAAGACCCTGAGAAAGGACGTCTTCACTCATTTCGAGGCGCTCTTGAAGTGCTAATCGACCGATACAATCCGGAATTAAAACACACAGCTCTTGCTAATGTTAAGTACACAAGCGGGTTGACGTTTGAAGAGTACGCGGTCAAGGCGCTGAAAAAGGTCAACCACGTAATTCCTGAAGAAGAGTTCAGCTCGGTAGAAATTGCCGGATACCTGGACCAGTGGATGCACGTGGCGACCTTTTTCGCGTTGCGATTATGCATCGCTCCGGCGATCGAAAGCCTGCTACAGATGGATCGAATAATGTATTTGCTCGAAGCTGGTTTCGATGTTGATTACGTGCCACTGTTCGAGCCAACAATATCACCCAGATGCCATGTTATCGCTTCTATAAAGAAGTAAATCTTACTTATCTATATAGAATATGAGCAAAGCTATTTTAATAATCGGATGCCTCAAATTCCCATATATTTTTGTAATAGGACATAATCAGTTTTTAGAGGGTGCTGACGTCACGACCAGAAATCTAGGGAACAATGTGCCTGGTACGAGCTGATTAGCTAATGGGAGGAAGTACGAGCTACGGAGTAGATTTTAATAAATATATGTATACGATATTTATTTAATTAAACGAACGTGGTTAACACCACAGGAATTGTTTCCATATGTAAAAAATGTCTAGTGACTACATTATGTTGAAATAATTGAAAGCTCATGTGTGAGGGTTTGTCTGGCAGTCAGTCTAAGTGGAATTAGTATAACAGGGGTATAACATAATTGAATAAATATTAATGATATTCTTGCATTTTGTGTTGACGTTTGCTATTCAAAAATATTTGTTTGTTGCTCTTCAGTTGTTGTTTCTTGGTAATGTTGTTTTTTACAATATAACTAGTCGTCAGATGCTGAAAAAGAGCGACATCATATTACCATTTCAGTATTAAATTACAAATAAAGCGGAAAGTACAGATTACAAAATTAAAGAGGGTGTATGGCATATATATGCTGTACACAGTACTCAACAATTCTATTGATTTTGTCCTGTTGATTTGCTAATCACTGGTTAGCGCTAAATGATTTCGTACTTACGTAAAACCTCGACTGAACATCATCATATGAAGATAACCTTATATATCTGATTCCAATAAAAATAAAAATGACATTTTCACCAATAAGCTTGCGAGCGTTATTCTTGTTTGGTTTTTGTTCACTCTCTCTTCCTGTTCGAGGTACATCGAACTCTTTGCTGTATACGGATAATGTGATATTCTTGAAGAATTCGGAGCAACGAGCTCGGCTCGGTGCCCTTATCGAGGATCTGACTACGACGGGCCGGAGACAGCTGAACGAGGCCAGCCTCAAAGAGTTAAAGAAGATAGCTCGGTGGGTTTCTAAAAATGTCGGTAGGGTATATGTATATATATATATATATTCTTCTTTTAATAACTTTGAGACCATTGTAGGGCAGTAGGATATCTACAACTGATTTTGTTTTAGCCTTTATCTTGCAATTGCTTATTTTTGATAGCTATATTAGTAGATAATTAAGCGATGGTTGTCATCTCGGGGAAATGAGAATGGAGAACCGTGTCCTAACTTCCATCTCGGTTGTCATTCAGGTTAGGCAACTGCGTTAGCAGACTGCCTAATAGTAATTTCAAACGGTAAACCTAAAACCATAAAGAGTTCCGTTTAATAAAATATAGTTTTATTTTGATTAAAATATCTATCTTGCAGTGCACTTGTTTACAATTCAATGATCTGACTTAGATTTCTTAGTTTCTACTTATGGCAAGCTAACGAGGCTTGGTTAGCACATGCTTCTAAAGATTTAGTCTGCATGACTGTAGCCGGGTAATTAAGCTATACATCATAAAATAAATGTTAGTTTACAATAAGGATCATGGCATTTGGGCTTATTTGTGCAGAACTTCGGATGATCACATCCGACACGTCTTCTATCTGTTAAGCACCCAACTTGAAAAGGATCATGCCGAGATCAGGCTGTCAGCCGTTCAAATCATCGATCAGCTTTTCAGACGGTCCCATCTGTTTCGCACAATTTTACTCGACAAATTTCAGGTATGATAAATCAAGATGATAATATTACATGTACGTAATTGAGGTCGTCTCAGTCAAACCGAACAGCAAAAACCGATGCAATTTAACGCCGCAACTGCAAAACATGCTAGAGCACGTACATGAACTAACAGACCTCTACGTTTCTGTCGTTTTCGTTTGTTCTCTATGGATAAGGTAAAAATAATTTATTTAGTTACAGTCCCAGTACAAAAAAAAACACGCGAAACTCTGACTGAGGCTGGATATCGGCAATGCCTTTCCTCACATATCCCATAGCGCCGACTTCTTATTTAAAAAAAAGTTGGATTGGACTTGAATTATTACCTGCTTGTAACTAATTTTATGTACTGTGTATTGCTTCTACTAAAGGCACAGACACATAAGCTTCGTGATTAGCTTATTGAAATGTATTATTTTTTGATATGTCGGTTGGCTCACGTCGTGCATCAGATGTTTTTAGAGCAGACCGTGGAGACAGATCGCGACAATCCTCTACCCCCGCCGAAAAGCGCTGCTAAAGAGCTTAAAATGATGACACTTCGTTTGGTGCAAGAGTGGCACAACGAGTTTAAGAGTGGATATAAAAGTCTCACGCTTGCGCTAAATTACCTGGAAAACTGTCAACGCGTTGAATGGAACTTTGTTCAAAGACAGGCTGAGACTGCAGTGACAAGTCAAGCAGACATCACAGGCAGACGCTATCGCGAGAACATTCAGGTGAGGAACAAGCCGCGTTTAATGTAAGATGGGTGCTGCGAGGTCAGGTAAATATAGAATAAATATGACTTGATTGGTTCCATGTTCTGTCCTGTAGAGTATTGTAGACGCAATATCAGTCATACATTTTTTTAAAGTGTAAAATAAACTACAGTAGAATTAGCACATCTAAAAAGCCAGACTATAAAGATGTTTGTTTTTTTTATGTTCTTTTAGGCCGAACGAGCTAGAGTAATATGCGTCGAGGTGGATAATCAAAAAGATGTTCTTGAAGGAAATATCATCGAACTTGAAAACTGTATTCAACTTTTGCTTCCATCAGTTGATGATCCATTTGAGGTTTATATCATATTATGTATTTTACATATTGATCTGTCTGTGAGGTCTCTTCAAAGTAAAAACCTGGTGATTATGAATATCAGATTAGTTTTAGTTTATTTAATAAGCCGCGATTGTGACTTAAATGTATTATTTCCTAAATATTTCAATATTTTGTATTAAGCTTCTTCATTCATAGTTGATAGCTATACCGTACCGGGCTTACGTATGTAAGTCGACTTACGTAATGCGACGTTTAGTATACAAAGTGTTTGTTATACATCGATATATGTAGGTGGCAAAGTAAAAAAGCGTTTGTGGTATTAAAAAAAACACATTGCTCTCTAGGTTGTGTCATCTCAGGCTGACTTAAATAAACCGGGACCCAGTAACGATGCGCCCGGCAGTCGCTCGGACAGACTGCGGTTACGGGGTATACCAGCTAACTTCAACTTGGTCGTTGAAGTGGATCGCACCGTGCGAATAATGGAGGGCCCAGAAAACACCGATATAATAGCCAATCTTAAGGAGTTCAGTCAGATGTTAACGGATAAACATCTACCTCTCGTTCAGAAGTGGTTAAAGGTAATGAACGTTACAATCTTTCTATAACCTCTACTTGCTTAGGCATCTGCATAGATCCATAATCTTGAATGACGTCTGGAGCTAGACGAGCCTGATACGCGTTGTGCGATTAAAGGAATTGAGGAACGACTCCGCCCCTCCTCTTTTTTATATCATTTGTTTTCTATTTTTAAATACTGGCATACATTGACTTAATAAAATATAAGTGCCAATTACGTGAAAGAAGAGCTATTCAGTTGATTTTATTTTGCACCAAAATATGTTGACGATAACAATAGGTTGTTTCTGTTTATGCTGTTGTCGTAGTTACACCTGGTTATGTCTCTAAATCGATAATGTCTATCACAGATTCATAATATATGTGTAGTAACCTAAGATTCGTTGTATTTTTACACTTTGTGTAACTATTCAATCTTCTTTGTGCAATACATATTATGATTTCTTTATTGATACTTGGAACTAAGGTAAAATAATATTTATTTTTATTAAAAAATATGGATCATTGAGTAATATTATAATGGGGCGTTTCCCATGTTATGTGCAGTTATGGCATCGAAATGTTGTAAGCCTAGACTAGGACATTGATTTACGGGTATTGCCCTGTACGTCATGTCTATCGAACAATAACTAAATTGTAAATTGTAACTATGAAGTATAAAAACACTAATGCAGATTATATAAATATTAGAGTAAACAATAATATAATATTATAATAACAATAATATAATAATAAATAAATAACAAAGTGTTACCATTATATTCGGATATAAATAATGTAAGTTACTGTATGCATCTTTTGGTACTAAGTAACAGTCGAGCAAATCGTCTATATGACGTGGTTAGCATTGCTGTTCTTTTGCTCTTGTAGAATGAAGGTATATTTTCTTGTTCCTTGTTCTTCCAATTTGCTTCTCACCATGTACATTTGTACATTTGCAACCGTAGTCATCATGAACTTTACAGGCTCAAGGGCACTACTCTCTGTAGAGGATTGGGACAAATTACAATGTCATCATGAGCCCCTGGTTCTATTTCAAATCCTTGCCAATTTATTTTGAACATTAAATATCGTGAGCATACTTACCAGTATAGAAGTGACTTTTACTTTGAAGGTTTCCTGTTTTTATCCAATTGATTTCTCGAGTTCCGTTCAATTCGAGCTATCAACAACTGTATGTGTTGCACTTTGGCAACGTGTGCATTACTCTAACTAGGCAGCGAAGAGAAATCAGCACGGAATGATCTCTGATCGATGGCATATTTGTTATCCGCTTGGCACTCGTAATTTCCTGAGTCCATCTGGCGCGCTGGATCAATTTCTAGTTTGGATTTAATCCTATTCTCTTGCTGTTGCCATTCCGAGATCTGAAAGGTAGACTGTTAGACAAGTGCTTTTATTATCATCATCGCAACAGCAATAGTATTATGACGGTAATAGACAGATCCTTTAATTAGCAACACTCTGAAAGTCGCTTTTCTTCATGTGTTAAGATACCTGAGAATATGGATGCGCTTGCAGTTCCACTCCGTCTTTGAACCAAGTTATTTTCGGTCGCGGCAGACCCTTTGCAACGCACACAAAAACAATCTTGTGCCCCAGGAAAAACTCATAATCGAAGTGAGATGCTTTTTCTATAACCGCTCCCTGTAAATAATGCGATGAGTAATTTTGCAATTATTGTGCACCGGGAAGTTCAATTCAGCTATTCATGTTATAGTCAGACAGGTATATAGCATTTAGCAAGTTACTCATAATCGGGTTAAGGGCCTATCGTAGAACTATGCTCTGTGGTACGCAATTTTTTTTAGCAGAAAACACGAAACTTTTGTGATCTTACATTTGGGTTGTCGTAGTAATCCTTTCTTTTCGTATTCTGGAAGAAGATAAATCTCGAACTTCCCGAGCCTTTCCGAGAACGACCTCTTCCTCGCCCCTTGGCGCTTCCTACAAGTTGAATGGCTGCCAGAAAGATCAGGGCGGTCACAGCCAAACCGTATAACGGGCGCATTATAGCACACTTACAGATATTTAATCACCGTAAAATATGGAGATACCTGGTGCTGAGCATTCACTGTTTCTGCTGAAATGGTCAATAATATTCTTAGAATGCGTTATGCATGCGAAGGCCGAGATTGTAGCTATTCGCAAGTACTGATCTTTGACACCATTCCAAGTACTTAGAATAAGGCGATCATCTCTTCGTTAAGAATACGTCGATATGGGCAGTGCTTGCGTGCCCTCTAGCAATACTTCTTTTGCAATCAACGGTTATACTCCTTACAGCCTGTACACTCTGCGAACGGATTGTCACCCATTAGGAGAGTGTTTTTTGTCGCGTTGACGTACATCTTGATTAGTGCTGCGCCGAACAAAGGTAAACAGCTTCATCTGCGTGCTGACTTGGGTCTTCTTGTCTACGATGGTTAGAAACAGCGAGATATTTTTCTTATACATGCCTTCCGTGGAGGCTGACGGTAGACTGAGGTACCTGTGGCACTTGTGAGACTCGGGAGCAGGTCAGAGGCCTCTTCTTTTGAGACTGTTTCTATTGCCCCAAAATTACTATCACCAGGTGAGAAAAGGTTCGATGAGCTTCTGTATCTCTGGCAGATTCACTGCATGCATGCGATATATTGCCAAATGTTTTAATATCGGTTACATGAAGCAACATGATCGATGTAAATGTGACGTTGAGATTGAAGAAATGAGTACCTTTCACCAAAAGACCGAGACAAATAGTGACAACATACAAAATAAAAATATAATATCTGATAACATGTTTATTATGTATCCACAGTGTAGACCCGATTTCTCTGACATTTTGCGTAATATATTGTACGATTCAAAATCGGCCAGCCGATCTGGAATTAGAATCAAGATCCATTTAGGAATTCACTACCGAAATATGTTAGCTCCAGATCCAAGAGGGCTGGCTGATTGTTGTTGTCGTTGTTTCCCTATGTAATCAACATCAGGTCAGTCTTTTAGCAAGGGATGATGGCAATTTTATAGCCACTGTCGTCACTCTAAAGAGAGATCCTTGTATCCGTTGGGGATTTTTGCAGACGTTGAGCAAGCTCCACGGCGCATCGACTTATCACATAAAGTACTTGATCGATCTCAAAGAGAAAATGGAACGCCTTAAATGTAAACTGAATGATCTAAAAATCGAAACTCCAGTGCGTACAACAGGGCAGGGAGGAGATACCTCAGACGAAGATGATGACTTTGAAGAGGTGGAGCAGAAGGACATCGAGACATTGATTCCATCCCACAGAAGAGAGGAATATGGTTAGTTGTTAGAATCATCATGATTACTTTTTGGACGTTGACGAATAATCCGTATTGACTTGTGTCGGTATATTGCTTTCTGGTGGCTTCAAGACAACAGTAAAACTTAGAAATTCATACACCTAGTGTCTGTCGCTTATTGAACATGTGTTAATATTGATTTGATAACATTTAGGTTACTATTTAATTTAGTATTGATTTCTTAATTGCTTACCGGTAGGTCTCAAGCCAATCTCAGAAAAACCACCACTTCAAGCAAAACGGAATGTTATCGATGAAACTACGGATCCGACCTCAAGGGCAGCCCAATATAAAAAGATCGTGGAGAGGTACTCTCAACAAGCTAAGCGAAAGCGAATTGCAGAATCTAATTCGTTGTTGGAAGCACCAAATCATTATAAAGATAAAGCAGCATCGTCATCACGTCAGGAAAGTAAACCCGTCACAAGCAAATCTGATGCACCGACTGAAGAAAGGTTATCAAAGTTCATGGGAATAACAACCAGTTCTGTTAGTGAAGGTACTAAAGGCAGTACTGCACATAGTTTCAAGAATGATCGACCCAGAGCGAAAGAATTTCCGCCAGAAACGGCTATGGGTGACCAAAATGCCAAAAAGAATAACCGCAAGGATCAACTGCTAAAGAGGGCCCCCAAAGTGAACTTCGACATCGATCTCATTCATTGGGAGGATGAGAAGCTTGAGACCGCTGTTCAGGTTTGTTACAGATTATCCTTGTTTACCCACTAATAAATGCTGATATTATACTATTTCCCTGTTTATTAAACTCATTTAGATCGGATTTATACTATTACTATTTTTTTTTTATAGGTGATTCCGTTTGAATCCCACAATGGCTTTCATAAGCCTCGTGATGACGACCAGATCAGCGCTCTACAGAGGATGGCTGGTGAAGCGAGACTTCGAGAAAGAAAAATTGACTTTAGTGGAACATTTGAGCCAGTCCGGTGGAGCTGTAGAGCCCCACTGCCATCAGGGCGGTTGTGCCCTCGGCAGGATCGGTACAAGGTAGACAATATAATTAGGCTACATTTTATTTTACAACGTTGGCATTTTTAACAATATAATAAGACACAACGCCATTATGAAATTCTAGAACCTTTTCTCTTACCTTTATTTTTAGAGGTCAATTTTGTTTGCTCGAATGCATTTAGGTTTAAATAATGTATTCTAAAATCGATGAATATGCTTTGACCTCTCGTTTGTAGTGTCCGTTTCATGGTCCAATTATTGCCCGCGATAAAGTAGGAAAAGCCAGCAATGACGAAGGTGCAGCTGACAGTCCTTCAACTTCTTCGGGTGACATGACGTCACGATCGGGTCTTTTAGATTGGCAAGACCCAGGGTTGCTACGGGATATAGAAGCTCAAACTGGCATTGATCTACGAATGCCTCCAAAAAGGGGGACTGGCCAAAAAAAGAGAAAGGTAGAAAAAGGAGAAAGTAAAAGTATGATACTAAATAGATTATGTAAAGCACTACATGTTTCTAGCATACTAACTTGCACAGATTTATTTTGGTGCATGCATGTAGGGGTGTCTCGCAAAGATGTATACTAGAGTTAAAATAATGATAATAAAATGTGTTATCAATTCACTTGTGCTTTTCAGAAAAAGGGTGGCCTTACAGATGTGAAAAAAGAAGAAAACACCGCCCGGCGAAGATTAGAGAGAAAAGTCTTTAATAAGTAAGTAAAACATCGATTCTGTTATTTCACACGCTCAGAAATATAATTATTATGCAAGCTAACGTCTAATATTAGCTTTGGTTTAGTATCTGCATTTAATTTAAAAATACTATTAACATTAAAGTAAAAAAAATAACTGACAATAAATATGCTGCATGAACCTATGTGCCTTGCTTCAAGTAAGATTGGTTTTTATCGTTATTAATACTTACATAATCTCATTCAGCTGTATATGCTTTATCTCCATCGCTCCCATTGTAAACAATATATATTGTCATATGAAGGCTAATATTTCGCGGTTTGACGTATCGCATTGTTTCAAAAGAAATGGCTGCAATATATGAACAAGTATTGTTTATTAACAGTGAATTCTTTTGTTAATGTTAATATGAATTTTTATGTTAACAGGTCATCAGTGATGCGAGTCGCAGCCACCCTGGATGCATTAGATAGCCGAAAATACGACGATAAATTTGGGGACCAATGGAATTACACTTAAATATAAAACTCACTTCCAAAAAATAAAACTCACTCGCAGTAGATTTTTTGGAAGTTCCTATGTACAAACAATTTATAATTATGGCTTTCATAAAAAACTGATAGTAATTTTAGTAAATCTATGTTCATCCATGTCAGTGTATCAGGTAGAACCCTTGCATGATGATGAGGAATATGATTTCTAGGCAGGCCTATTTGTATTAAGCTAATAAGTACATAGTAGTAATTTCAGCTTATTATTCTTCTTCTTTAGATTTTGTTCATTGACATTCAAGTGTTATATACCGGTCTTTACCTTCTAAGCTCGCCGTCATCGTCTTGTTCGGTTGAAGCGGACCCAAATGTGCTTTAGGATGTTCTTGAATTTATTTTAAAAAGGGGTATATCGGGTAGTGAAAAGCAAAATGTTCGATGTCTCCTATTTGTTTCCGATCCAAGTCAAAAAATTGCAGAAACAACACAGGGTCGACGTCTTCTGCACAAAAAGGATGCTATAGAGGATAATATTGCTCAAAAGTGACTTACTTGACTAATATAGTATTTTCAATCTAGACAATGCGCTTACCTCGATTTTTCAAACTTGTCAACGAGTAATTTGCGCATTTACAAAAAACTCATAAATAATAAACCCAGATAACCACTAAATGTTTTTTAATAAACTTCATATACTAACCATAGACTCAGTTAACCTTTCAATATCAGGGAGAGATTTTAAACAAACCAGGTATCGAAAGTTTTGTGTTTTGTCAGCCATCATACCCATCTTAGATGAAAAGGTTTGTGATTTGGGCAAAACAGTTCTCTAGCATGGATCTTGTAGACCATAGAAAAAAGCTTTTAGAAAGTATAAAACACTTGATAAACAATAAATAAAAAAGCAATTAACAAAAGTAAGCACGTACCAATAAAATATCCACATGTTTATAGACTGTTTTGTTCAGTTCAGTTGTCCACTATTAAAGCCATGGTTGGCCGTTAAATAAATGCATATGGATGTCGCATTTACAGGCATATTTGTATGTTTCGTTATTCGCCTAATTGTAACAAAAGGATTCCATTGTTACTTACGTAAATATGGAGTTTATACGTTATTAATAATCATTGTCCTCAATGCAGCCGACCTTTCGCAAATCCCTTTAAGTAAGCTGGAACGAATATTTTTTCTTTGCTTAAATCGACTGGAGTAGCGTTCGGTAAATTGAGCGTGTAATTTGACATCATAAAAAGGCCTTCGCAATTTTCAAAACGTGTTATTTTTAAGGCAATTTAAACTAGGTCCTGGAGTATAATTCAGTTAGCAAATAGAACAACCACTTAATTTTCTGAAGGCTACCTGTCTGCCTGCTCGACACCAATGCACGATGTAATTTAGTCATCATTTCCAGCATTCTTTGCTACTTCTCTACAATTTTGTGGTAGAGTGCGAACGACTGACTAATTTCTTCTTGCACATTTAGATTTCGTTTATCGTCGATTCTTTAGCAGTAGTCTAGCAGCGAAACTTTACTTATCCGTAATAAAGAGAAATTTCGCTACATGCAAAATAAGATCGTAATTTCTGTGAACGCTATGCCTAAGATTGAAAATAAGTAGTGCATTCTGCGAAGTGTTCCGATACTCTCATCTTGATCCTATGTTCTTCGTACATGGAGGCAAATTAGTAATTTTTTTGGGTCCAGCAATACAATTAGTGAATCCTGGATGGAGAAATTTTGTGGATACGTCTTCCTGCGGTTTAATGCATTACACACTACGATCAAAATAAAATACACAAAATGCCGAGTACTTATTTATTTATGCTTGTATTCATAATATATATTAACAAACATCGATCAGATTTTCTTTCAAATTTAAATTACATACTCGTTGTTGCCACTCGTATGTTGTTGTTCAGGCCTATCAAGGCGCATGCATACTAGGTAATGCAATTCAAAAGCAATATCTTGATTGTCGGCCATGGTCCTATAAAAACGCCTAGCTCTATTCGAGGACACTAAATGCATGTTTTAACTTTATAGAAATGCGACTGATAAGCAGCACTCAGCGGGAACGGGGAGCATCACTTTACTATTATGAGTTGTGTATTTACAGCTGCAGTAACAAAATGCTTCTTGTATGTTGATATGAAAGGCATTTGATCACGTAGATAACTTACTAACTCATACCGGATACATCTTGTATGGACCGCTGTATCCGTGCGGAAGATACTCTTAGTTTTGTGACTGGCAAGTGTGTAGATTAGAGATATATTTTATGCTACTGTGGCCAATAGTATAAAATATATATCTGTTTGTCAGTTCTAGCAGTAAATATTTCGCGTCATAATGGATTGAAAAAGCCTCATGATACCATGAATAAATCCCATGTTAAAACACACTGTTAGGTCTGCTTTGGCAACGGCATGACACGCTGAAGGGCTAGTTCCGTTACTGGAATATCTAACTTCCCTTTAATGATCCGACCATACATCCTCATCTCAACAGCATGTAATAAATGCGGTCAGAACGATACGCAATACTAAAAAATAAAAATTAAAAAACGAAAACAGAATAGAATGCGTAAAACTAAAGAATGATTTTAATGACGTTTTCTACAAAAAGCGTTAGCCAACCTTTGTGATAAAACTTCCACCTTCACGGCAAATTGTGTAATTAGCTCTTTCATCATGCGTCAATTTCACTACCATGCCAACGCTATTACCATCGATAATTTTATGTCTTCGTTCCTTTTTCACGTTTTCCCTAATATCATTTTCAAATTAAGCGTAGCATTACCTTAATTAATGATCGTTTTAATCTTGCATATGATATTCATCTACATAACGCAACCTATAATGCCGTATAAAAAATTAAGTGATAAACGAAGAATTCAATCGTCATCTGTCTTGAAGAAGCGACAAAAATATGAAAACAACGTTAGGGCCTCATTCCGTAATAGCTAGCAGTCTCTGCTTCTAGAAGACTACATACGTCCGTATGCAAGGTCTAAAAAGTCGTTACTTTTGTTTATAGTAATGATAAAGTCAAATATCTGTACGCTTACATTCAATGACAAGTAACACTACGGTACGGTTTAATCTTAATACTACTGGTGCATAGGCTTAGTCTGCTATTGCGTCTTTTAAGCAACTTTTCGATTTAGATTGGGTTTTGCCAGATGCTGGTTAGGAGCAACTTTGACGTCCATCATTGTCCACGGTTCAGTTTCATATGGTTTGCTACGTGACCTGCTTCAGCATAAACGCAGGTGTTCTGTTTGCCCGCGGCCAGCCCAGCAAGGACCCACATCTCCTGAGAACTTCACACCGTCACAGCTGATAAGTAAGGAAAAACCGGTAAAAAATATGAGTGAAAATTGCGCAGAACGAACGGGTTCGACAAAAAAGAAGAAGAACAATAACAATTACATACAGTTCATTAAATAGCGTTTATATATTTACTGAGTCAGGCACGCAGCTAGTCATTAACTGAAGCGTGAACTAATTCGCTCTTTAAATGGCACGGTAGAAAGCAAAAATCAGGGCCAGTACCGCAGGCTTACACGTTTATTTATAATCCTGTTTTCTATAATTATTGTTGGGGTAACTCTGCCGAAATAAAAGCTCATTCCATATGCATGGCGTACAAAGCGATCCTATGTAACGAGCAATTTCTGTACCCATATACTATTGCTCTAAAAATGAGTGTGTAAAAGTTACGTAGAATCATAAATGTAGCATGAATCACGATTAAGACAGCAGCAAATGAGTGTTATAAATATGTATCGTGTCCCAAGTGGCACATCGTTGTCACAATAACAGGCCATAATCCATGGCATCGAAAGATATGCGCAGTAAATTTTCTGTATTCGATCTGCGCATCGTCTCCAAATTGGTTAGACAATTACAACGTCAAGTGGGCAATTTTTCTCCTGGCAAAATGTAGGCCAACTTATAATTAAAATTTCACTGGGCTGGAATTGGGCTAATTATTTATATGGGTCTTAGTGCAAAAGCGTCCAATTGCTATGTTACTACGTCGAAAACTGCGGCGGCGACATTTGCCAAATTCAATTAACAGATACAGTTCAGGCCTTTAGTAGGTATGGCACGGATAAATATAATCGATTCAGTTATATATATACATACATACACAAGTAAAATAATCGTTAATCTAAATGCCGTTGTCATCAAATCAAGGAGCGAGTGCTTACTTGTATCGGGCTTGTTGGCATTTTTCTCCACTAGAATCGTCCTGTAGTCATCATCAGGTATTTCTACGAGGTGTTCATGCAGATACTGTAGCAGCATATACGAATACCGAGTGTGAAGTAAGTCGAGCCTCAACTTTGGTGTAGATCTTCAGTTTCTAGCCCACTGGCACCCAAGCACTCATACAAACTGCACTCTAAATGTTTTTTTTCGCAGAAATATTCGCTGGTAGCGTGAATAGCTTATAACGACAATATTACTGTTCGTAAAAAGTAAAAGGAAAAAAGGACATGGCTTTGTTTGAAAACGTCCGTACTGTCGTTTTAACGGTTCAAAAGTTCCTGCTGCGATATTTAGTATGTTATCGGCTTCTCAATTCGAGTATATGTCTCAATGTGCTCATTTCCGTGCAGTCTCTAGATCGCCTCGTACTGCACCTCCTACATGAATTACTATCTTTTCAAGACTTATTAGTATGCTTCTCTATACAAATATTCATAGCAAAATACAATGAAAGATTATTGTTGCTCCCTAGAATATTCGCGGTAGATTTTATGCTCGAGTGATGGCCGAATGCGACGATATTCATCCTTTCAATAGTATTCGCAAGGATTGGGCTATTAGAAGAATGTATGCATTAATATATCTCATCAGTTTGTATGCTAACCTCTAGTCGAAACCAGACACAAACTTCACATGTGATTTTCTGTTTGTGCAAAAATTTTGGGAGGCCGACTACATAAAGTTGAGGCATGGCTTTAACAAATGACTATTCCCCCTGCTTTCCTGCCCTGTTTTCCTCAAAATACTCCTTTACGAAGGGGCTGCACCTTCTAGTCGACTCAATATATAATGGATCAAAGTAGAAGGCCACGGCGGCGTGGAAATTTATCGAAAATTGGTGAAGAGATTAGGCAAGAAGACCTCGCGTGTAAGTACAGCATCTGGACGTTGCAAAGAATGGAAATTAGAGTGTCAAAAACGAACGAGGGAATGATTAGATCATGAGATCCAAAGGACAAAAATGGACGGGGGAATGTACATTAGAGGCATCTTCTAGTGTAAGATATTCGCCAAAAATAAGTCAATGAACGTAGCCGACCATCGTAAGTGTTTCGAGAGACATATGGACCATTGGCACGCCAACCGAAGTCACCGTTTCCTCTACTATTTCCTGAATTGGACAAAGCTGTTGTCCACCATTGGCTTCAACCCGCTTATTCTATCAATCGAGGACTGCGCGATGGGGCTTTCTACGCCCTAGAAAGATAAAAGAGCATATCTCACTATCGACTTGCTTTGAGAAATCATAAACAGAGGAATTATATATGGGACCGTGAATGGTCGGTACACATATTAAGAAATCACAATTGTAGCCCAATTATGAAGAAAAAATTATTCAGTTTTAAAATCCACCGGATTTTCTTGTAACAGCCTTATATATATATATATATATATAGAAGTGGATAAATAGTTTCACTTAATGTTTTTCTTATCTAGATGTAAAATTTTTATTTTATATCCGCACATATAAGTAGATACAGCAAATTTAAGTCGAAAAAGATTACGGTACGTTTAAAAATAGAAGATAACACCTGGATAAGATACCGTTCTTTTCTGATTGGGCTCAATAAGCCAAGTGGAACAACAAACCCATGTTCGCAATAACGATAAAGCACTTACATTCATTAGCATTAGCACACGCCTACCCCATAGTACTGTTGTAATTATTTACGTGGAATTTTGTGACTGGAAATAAAGGACGTGAGAAAAATATGTTAAAATCCAAAGCCGGCAGGCACTGCAGCTGATAAATGTACCAAA